GTGCAAGATGGACTCTGACGAGAAAAAACTTCTTGTACGACACGGTGGACAACCTTTCCTTGCAGTAGATGTAGCTATTGATTCAATGTAGTTGTTATACTTCAAGTCAGTTGAAAACGTGAGGCGCAGTGTGTTGCTCTCCAGGAGTCTAGCATCAGCCATGCTAATGGCGGGCAGGGAGGATTCTGGTTAAATGAGTGCAGTTTAGTTCAGGAGGTATTAAAATTCATAAGCCAATTTTTATTTATTTATTTATTTATTTCCTATCCCAGTTAAACACTGATTGGAGGTCTTTCTTAAGAGTAGCGGCCATGTTAATTTTGTCAGCTCTGACGGATTTGCCTTTGAGACAGGATTAAATGACAGTGTCATCTGCATAAATGGAAGATCATTGCTGAAGATCAAAAACAGCGTAGGACCCAGGATAGAGCCCTGGGGAATACCCGGGTTCGTGTGAAATGATCTGGAAGCTAGCCAGTTCAGAACAACTTTCATTTCCAGATTTGTTAGGAATGATTGGATGAAATCAAACAATCGTCCTGTAATACCGTAGACCTGAAGCTTACGTAGAAGACCGGCATGCACAAACCCTTTGCGATATCTAGAGCCACAGCTCGAGCTTCGCTAATATTATCAAGACCTTGATATACATATTCAGTGATAGACGTAAGCATGTCAGCGGTAGACCGGGAAAAACGGAATCCATATTTTTTGTCAGAGAATAGGTCGTGAGAAGTAAGACGCTGAACAATTTCATCCTTGATTTAAACTTCAATACTTTGCCGAATAGCGGTAGGAGACTAATGGGGCGGTAGTTAGAGGGATCAGAAGTTTCTCCAGAGTTCTTAAAAACAGGAACTACAGAGGAGGATTTCCAACAAGCTGGAAAGCAGAAAGCAGCGTGGCTGTGGTTGTAGAGTTTGGAGAGAACTGGGGCCAGCTCTGGTGCACATTTCTTTCGGACGAAGGCTGGGATCCCGTCACCTCCACTTGCCTTATTTAGAAATGATCTCCGAGATCAATGACGGGGTTATGTGCATATCACTCAGTAGAGTCACAATTCTAGGGAGGAAATCAGGTGTGGGTACGCCGAATGATTCGAGTGTTGAGTTGGAAGAATATCCGAGCAAAGCATTCAACCTTATCTGCTGGTATTATCAGGACTTCGAATTGATTGAAAGTAAAGTTGTTGGGTGAGAAGTGATTAAACTGGATGCATGATTGTAGAACCAGACGTGCAAGTATTGTGCTAAGAGCCTGCTACCCTCTTTACTATCATGAATGGATTGATTCATTCATGATAAGTAGTCCTGGGTAATTGTTTAGAGGCAAAAGAACATAACGCTGTTGCAGTAACTTGTCTAGCTGAGTACTGAATACTACTATCACGACTGACTTGGTTGACTTATAAATTTTATGTCTTGCCAGACCCCATATCACAACAGCAAGAAAATCGGGTTATTTGATAAACTTCGTCTGTTATATGGCTACTATAGAAGGCCCGAACTAATTCAGTATGGACTGCTAGCTTAGCCTGCTGACCTTCGCCTTACGGTAGTTGCTGGTTAATGAGATTGAGTGAGCTCTGCAAGTTTTTGCTTTACTTTTACACATTTGTTTTGATTTTCTAACTTTTTAAAAATGATTATGATAAATATAAGCGATTACTCTTTTAGACAAAAGGCAAAAGGCAAGTAGATTTGATCAAAATGTGGACGTGAATAATGCGATTGAATGACAAACTATCACGAATAAATAGATGAGAAGTTTTAATTAGTTTCGGTGAGGATGAAAAACGGAATACGATTCCATCTTCTAAATTTGGTTAAAACACACACACACACACACACACACACACACACACACACACACACACACACACACACACACCTACAAACCTACCTAACTACCTACATACCTACCATTGTATGTATGTATGTGCGTGTGTATGCATGTATTTCAGTCTGATTATATCTATCTCCGTCTATCAATGTCTTTTCAGATCTATCTGATAATTCTGTAGGCGAGTTCTCATTATAATGCCACTTCTCTTCATAAAACTCAGTTTATATAAAGATATCATCGACGATCTCAGTTAATGGAAGAGTAGGGAAAATGCCGAAGAAATTAAGATTAAATTCAAATAATAGCAAAATACGGGATGACCACATATTTTAAATCTACGATGCTAATAAAATTATTGGATTAAAGTCACTTAATCTCTTCTTGAGGGCCTGCCGCCTACAGATGTTTTCATTCACGATATTTGGAGAGATACAACTTTGACACGATAAACTGCTTGCAAGATTAGCATAGGACAATCTTTCAGTGGCAGGGACTCATATTTACTCAAGTTTTTTATGTCTTTTGCAGGGAAACAATAGTAGAAAAATTAAGGAAGAAACAAACTTTGAATCGCTTGCAAGATTAACGCGTTATTCATAACAGCTGCTCATTTTCTGTGTGTCTATAAAAATAAACCCTTCTTGCAGTAAGTGCATGTTGATATCACGTCGCCAAACTGTTGCGGGCACACAACTACTAATTTGGCTAAAAGAAGTGGTAACAATATTTTGCACAAGTAGAGGATGAGTGTAAGGAAATTAATGAATTTCAACCAGGCGATATTTTATATTTTTGCTTTTTATATAACTGAGCAAAAACAGAAGGATACAATAGAACACAGGCAAAAGAAGGAAGACATTACATGTTGGGAATTATGAGGGTGATACACGTGTGTGAATAAAGTTCACTCATTAAGGGGAAAGATATCCCCATGTTCGGAAGTAAAGTTCGGGTAATACTGTCACTCTAGCGTTCTGGGGAAGAAAAAAGAAAGGAAAAGGGCAAGAGGATAACAACAGGAAGTGTCCTGTTTTCATAGGACAGCGCTCTGTAATGACTTTTTGTCAAAACCGGAGAAGCTATATGGCGATAACACCCCACACATTCTTTGATCCCTTTTGTCTAATTTTGAAGGTATGTAAATCTTTTTTTTTATATATTTCAAACACAACCAACATCAACATGCTCATTCTGAATGATATGGAAAGCAGGCCTTAATATTCCAAGCTCCTCAGTGATTTCAAATTGACGCATCCTTTGTGAGATGTTGATAATTCTCATCCTTTTCTTCAAACTCAAACTTCTGATTTTGAAACTCACACTAGTTGCCAACCAAGGCTGGAGAACATAGTCTACCCTGCTATCTAACCATTTTTTTTTATTTTATTAAATACTATATTAATTCAGAAGATATATTACCATAGCTTTCTAGAGAAAAGAAGGAAGACATTACAATTTAGGAATTATGAGGGGGGTTGTTTTGTTTTGTTTTTAGTTTGTTTAACGGCATATCAAACATATGAGAGTCAAGATCTGGCGAGGCCTTTTAAGAATATGACACAAGTTCTTAGGTTATTGCTATGGTTTTTTACCATCTTGCGGTATTGAACAAAACTACTCTTAGCAAAACCTATTCTATCTTCAATTTCCTTATCTTCCAGTAAGTGAAGAAAAAGAAGTGCAAAGAAAGGAAATTGAACAGAGAAAGGCGATCACGGCTCTTCACAGCTTCCTTTTCCTAACTATCTATGAATTGTAATGCATTCATCAAAAAGACGGCGGAGTGATTTTCTGTTACCTTTCCTGTGGTTTGAAATTCAGAGTTTTCTTTTTTTAAAACTAATTGCTAACCAAGGCTAGAGAGCCTAGTCTGCCCTACTATTTAACCTTTCTTTATTTTATTAAATGCTACATCTCTTTAGAAGATATGCTATCATAGCTCTCCACACATAGATCTGATCAGGAGAAACAATATTCTTTTCTCTTCTAAAGATTTTGGGGGTAGACGCAGTTTGAAATCACGTCAGGGACCCCCAAATGTGGCACACACACTGCTCTTTAGACTAAAAGCAGCGGCACAATATTTTGTACAAACCAATGACGAGGGTAAGAAATGAATGGATTTCAACAGGGAGATATTTTATATTTTTTTTATATGACAATAAAAAAGAGAAAATACAGGTGTTTGCATGCAAAAGTAAGAAGACATAAGTTAGGTATGATGGGGGTTGTGCGTATGTGTGCGTGAGTGAGTGAGAGAGAGAGGGAGAGAGAAAAATTCAGTCACTAGGGGAAAGATGTCCCCACGCCCGGGAAAAGGTCTCAGTGGTGTCGTCACTGAAGCAAGTTGATATATATATATATATATATATATATATATATATATATGTATCTGATATTGAGCACTTTATCCCATAAATATAGCACATCTTAAGACTATATTTTTTATATATATATATATATATATATATATATATATATAAAGAAATAATCATACATAGAATCAGCAATATTAATGCGATTAATGGCGAAATCGCATTAATATTGCTGATTGATTCTATGTATGATTATTTCTTTATATATAGAATATATGCCTAATTTAATATATATATATATATATATATATATATATATATATATATATAGATAGATAGATAGATAGATAGAGATAGGTGGGGAGGAGAGGAAGTGTCCTGTTTTTATAGGCGCACACTAACAAGTGCTTTTCGAAACTGGTGAAGGTATGTAGGGATAACCCACACCCTTAAGCCTAAGTCGGCGCCGCTCGTACAGTATTTACAGAAAACAAGGGAGGTAACTTTTGATTATATGACAGCTCTAAATATATTCGATTTTAGGTTTTTGTTTGTTCGTAGCCTTTGAGTTGGTTGTTTTTCTTTAGCCGCATTTCAATTTCTACTTATTATTTTATAGCGAAATCGAAATGTTTTGCATAGTCTTTTCTTGAAGTAATAATAGTTCTAGTGATAAAAGTTTTGCTAATTAACCCATAGCTGGGGGTGAAGAGGTGAATTCATACCTTTCCCGAGGGTATTTCAGCGTAAGTGAATATAACGAACCCAACTGGAATTGGAACTCGGCTCTTCGACTAATAGTTCCGAGTCATTATTCATTACACTACCCGCGCATCAAAGCTTACAGCACCTACTATTCCCAAGCGGTCATCCATCTAGGCATTGACCGGGTTCGACGTTGCTTAACTTTGGTGATCATATGGAAACCGGTGTTTCTACATGATGTGGTCGTAAGCCTTTGAAGTTGAGAAGGGGACGAAGAAAAATGACTCATGTTGAGTTGATTAGAAGAAATAGACGAAGAAGAGATTGAACAAAACAGAGATCATTTTTTTTTATTTGATCGGTAACTTTTTAGTATCGAGAACGTTCAAGGATAGTTCCTGTAAGAGTCTTTAAATTAAAAGAATGTTCTTATGATCGTCGATCTAAAGAAAGAAATGAACGTGCTTCAATTTATTCCGTTGTTGAGCGAGTGGATGTCTCGTGAAATTCCGCAACTCATGGTCCAGTTTTTTACGCATGACCGGAAGCTGACAAAGGTCACTGCTGCTAATAAGGTTTTTAACACATGTACGTCTGACCAAATAGAATTTAGCGGCTGCAGACGACCAATGAGAGAAACAAAAATAGGAAGATCGTGTTGCACCAATTTCTAACTTGGCGATCGCATTGAAAAACACCATTCAAAATCCTTTATTTTTTTAAATTGGAGTTGGTGGGAAATGACTATGTTTATTAGAATTTGGTTTTACTACTCATATTGATCAATAATCGATTATCACAGTAAAGCATAATTTGTGATGCATTACGAGGAACTTTTTTGGTTTCAAGATGAATCAATGATCAATCTGATCGAGACTTTTTGAATAATGTCTTATTTTACTTCATTACTGAAGTGCTTTCATTCCAGCTGGACAGGGCGGATTGATTAACTTGTGGATAAGAATCGGACATTTATTCACTGGTCACACGATTACATTGGGGAAGATAAGTCATGTGGTTAAAATGAACAAGCGAAATTCCCACGTCGATGTTAATCAACTTATTCAAAATTTGTATGACTGGCATTGCGAATAAGAACAAGGGAGGTAACTCGTTGTGCCAAGCTAAGCAATGTCAGTTTATTTGGCAGATAAAAAATTGGTCAGAAAGCTTCAAGAATAAAAGCATTGTTGCTTTCGTTTTGAACAGGAGTAGGGTTTATCTTTTGTTTCCAGTATAGGATTGGGTTTCCGATTCCTTCTAAAGTCTTATTGTCTACTCCCAGTAGCTCATTGCATCTTAGTGGCATTATCGCCTTGCTTGGAAGTAATTGATAAAAAAATAAAAAAAAATAAAAAAGAATTGTTAGTACCAATAAGAAGCCCGGGTGACGTAGAAACTAACACCAGGGTGAAATGAATGTGTGAGTAGGGTTCAAACTCCGGCTTAGATAGTTTGTGTTAATTTTTGTCCTATTTCCTTTAAGAAAGGCATGAACCCAGCTTTAATTTCCGCTCCTAGCTATAAGCAAAGATAGGCACGGTCGAAATGTGACCGTAACAATAAAAATAAGAACATTAGTTCAACTATTTTATTAGTAGGATATAAACAGATTTGTATCACATTCATATATCGCTGTCTTTCGAGCAACATCGTTTTGCTGTTTTTGGTCATTTCGAGAAAGGCAGTTTGAAATCTTTAGGCTTTTAACGGAAGTCCATCTTCGTTGTTTGATAGCTCAGATCATTGCTCGTTCCTTGCAGCAGATGCAGTGTAGCCCAATACAGTCTGGCGCATGTTACTTGAAAGGGAGATAAGCACTGCCATGGAAATCTCAGATGTAAAAATTATTCTTTATTCAGTCCCGGATTTCGTCAGTTAATATTGGCAACAGGATGTGTGACTTGGGGTTTTCCTTTCTTCAAGCATGGATTTTTCTTTCCGCGAGGATTTAAGAGACTCTGTTCTTCCTTCTTGGGTGGCAGCCACTGGCATCCAGTGAAAGAACGAATCTACTCCTGGTAGGCTAGGAAGTAACCTTTCTGGTCAACCCGCTGATGCATCTGACTTCTCTGATGCTCTGATGTAATCCTGAGTGCAAAAATCTTGGTAGGCCCAGAACATATTGGGGTCCTCGTAGATAATCTCTAAGAACAAAGATTCGTTGTTGACATTAAATTCTACTTATTTCTGATGTTATTGAAACATTCACATACAAAAATAAAGAATCGCTGATAACAGCTGATGTAGCTTGTTTCTCATCTTAGAAACAGCTTCGAATTCTAAAACACCATTTCGGACTCCCACGGGACAACTGTACAGGGATGGCAGTAAGGTAGGAATTATTATTTTGGCGACGTATTTTCACACACGCACTGCAACACCCAACGCAAACCGAAACACCAAACAACGCTTTTTACCTTTGTGCCATTGTCCTGTTTCCATTGAAATGTCTGTACGATCCGACGCAATGAATTTTGGTGACAGTAATTATGAGTTCAATCCCTGGGCCGGGTAGTACGGATAAAATTAAGGAAACAGGTCTAGCTATAACTGAAGTATTAACAAAGACGAGATATCCCTAGACATGAACAGTAACACGAGAGCAATCTAAAATAGTAGAATAAAGTACCTAGACCTTATAAATGTAAGCGCAATACTGGATTGGTGGTTAGGTCTCATCAATGGAATGGAAGTGGAATTGGCTAGATGTAACCGTAAGTTCTATGCTAACAGTTTCTTCTATCGCACTTCTCGCTTGTGGAACACTCCCGGCTCAATGTTTTCCAGCCAACTTTGCTCTTCAAAAAATTTAGATGCAATGTCGATCGTTATCTATTGTCTCCCTGATTACTCTTCTATTGTTCCCAATCCTTAATAATATTTCTCTTATTTCTTATTCTTTCACGCTCAGTAAACCCTTCTTGGTGGCTTTATTGCCTTTAATGGGGTGATATGATTAAATTAAAAAAAAAATTCCTGAAGGTTATAAGGATTGATAGATACTTGAAGCAGATTGGTGGGTACAACGACTGTAAACAATGGAAATAATTAGTTTATAATCAGGAACCAAACACGGCTTGCATCACATTCACATATCGCTGTCTCCCGAGCAATATCGCTTTGTTGTTTTTTGGTAATTCCAATTCACCTTCTAAAAGAGATTTAACAAATCTTTTTTGAGCCCGAAATATGCCATACCATTATCAGAACTCGACAGATCTCGAAAGCGAGTAGGTTTACGCGTGACATTTTACTCAAATCCATAAATCACCCATTAAAGAATTTAGGACGAGGTTAATGAGATTCCCGTACCAGATTCATATCGATATAATTCCAGGTCACATGACTTTGTCTTTTTCTTCTGGTTTCAGAGAGAATATCTATATATCTATCTATCTATCTATCTATCTATCTATCTATCTATCTATCTATCTATCTATCTCATTTTGTTGGTATCTATCTAATTCTGTTGGCATCTATCTCATTCTGTTCCTATCTATCTATCTATCTATCTATCTATCTATCTTATTCTGTTCACATCTCCCTCTCTCTCTCTCTTTCTCTCTCTCTCTTTCTCTCTCTCTCTCTCTCTCTACACACACACACATACACACATGTCAAATCAGTCGGGTTTCGATTCCGGCTTGAAGCAATCGCACGTCTAGCCACACTGAGGAACTGTGAAACAGCGAAACAGTCTGTCTGCGGGTGAATATCTATCTATCTATCTATCTATCTATCTATCTATCTATCTATCTATATATATATATATATATATATAACACTAAACTAAAAATACTTACAACAACGCGTGAGCGAATTAATTCTTCTCTGCTTAAAAGTTCATAACTTCTTCATATTCTATAGTTTTTTCCCGGGAGAAGAATTGTCCAATCGACAATCCTTGGACCAATGGGGGGAATGCTTCTCGCCCTGTTTATTTTGGAAGCACTTCAGATTACTTAGCGTAGAAATTATTTCTTCTCAAAACAAGCAATATATAGAAAAGAAAATATATAGAAAGAAAAAAGAGAAAAAAGAAAATGAAAAAGAAAAGAAAATGACTTGATTTACTTTTGAGAGATGAAACACATGATTTACTAGTGTGTACGCATGCGCGGGAGGATGACTCGAAGCTGTGTGTCGTCTTTGAGGAGCAGACATTGTAAGCTAATCTCGCAGGCCGTCACTACTGCAGGGATTTTGATTCTCACCAAGTGCACCTTACTTAAATGGAAATAAATAATAAATAAATATTTGAAACAAGCTTAAATTAATGATGAGTGCCGAAATAAAGCAAATGTCACCAGGGTCGTTTTGTTGACTAATAGTACAGCAGGGATTTCAATATCAATTCGGAGCATAGCATCTTTGGCCTTTTAAGCCACGAAACTCTACAGAAAAATGCTGAGGATACCATAGACCGAATATGTGAGCAGCGACGAAGTTCTGGGAGAATGTAAATAAAAAGGAAACATGCTCAACATCAGGAAGAAGTAGTTGAAATTTATGAGGCACGTAATTAGGAAGAAAGGGTTTTGAAAACCTGATACTCCCAGGGTGGATTGAGAGAAAGAGGGACATTGGAAAGCAGCGCGTAACATACTTGATCAGCTTGAGTAAATGGATTGTAGAACAGGGTCTGGTAGAAATAACAAAAAGACAAAACTTATTAAGAGCTACAAAGAACAGGAAGATGTGGAGGGCCATGATCGCCTACGTTCTGAAGGAACACGGCACATGAAAGAAGAAGAAGAATGATAATATTAGTCGTTTCCCTATAAGGAAACATTTGGCATTTATTAACTGAGAAGCCAGTACTGCTTTCGGTTGAAATTAATAAAATATTTCTCTTAAAATAATTTTCTAGGAAAATAGGTTTCTCAAGTCTAGTAGCTGTTATAGCTCTTTCCAGTATTGACAGGTTTCCTTCCAACTTTGAAGTAGCGTGGAATATTAACATCTTTATTATGTCATTATTTTCTCTTCGAGTTACGTATGCTATCGTTTTAGCTGTTACTGTCGTTACTAGTCCTCAAGTGATGTGGTTTCTGTTATTTGGCACAGTTCTTTGTTTGTGATTCTGTAGTGCTAGTCATCAATGTTCAAAGAAAGATGACCTTTGCCAAGACTCTAAGGCATCACTCGCTCAAAGCCTTTTTTACCATTGATCTTAGTTAGCAGTTGTATACAGTTGACAGTTTAGATTCTGAATTGGTTTGGTGCCATGCATGATATCTATATGA